CCTGCACAACCATTCACTGGGAAGCTCAGTGTTTCTCTTCCCCCACCTCTCTGTGCAGCTGAGAACAGAGGGTATGTGATCACTTAAAGCTTTACTATACTAAACCCAGGACCCTGCATTCACTATATCTGGTCTCTCACAGTACACAGAACATGGAAATGCAAATATTTTATTATATATAAACTGCTAAATACCTTTTCTCATCAGCAGTTAGAGCAGTTTTGTGACTTCTATCAGTGTCCAGCAGAGCTCTGGTTAATGTTGTAGAAGGAGTTTTCATTCTTCCCTGATTGCTCTATGAGGCTGCATAACCCCTGACCCTCTGTCTGGACAGCGCTGATTGGCTGTGCTGATCACATGCACTCTTACAAGAAAAAAGAAAAAACTCTCTAGCAATACACACCAAACTAAGCATGTACAGCCTGTCCCCAAGGCTCTGTTCTATCAGCAGATGGATTGGGGACAGTAGAAGAAGGGGAGGATCAGAGAGAGCAGGATCAAACATTCTGTTAACACAATGCGGAGAATTAACCCCTTAGGTTCCACAGTGAGTATAACAAGCATGCTTTACTACATATACACACTGATTTTACTGTTGTGGGTTTAGTAACAATTGAAAGAGGAGTTCCACTCCCCCAAAAAATTTAAAAGTCAGCAGCTATGAATACTGTAGCTGCTGACCTTTAATATTAGGGCACTTACCTATCTAGCTGTGTCCTCACCTGAGGCGATTCTTCAATCGCTATCGAGTGCTGGTGTTGCCATTTTGACTAAGGGTAACTGGCAGGCTTCACAGTCGGTTTCCTACTGTATATGCACAAAGTGCACTGTGCTTTGTGAATGGGCCGTGCTCTTCTGGGACTTGTGAAATGGGCCGTGCTCTTCAGGGCCTTGTGAAGTGTCCCAGAAGGCTGTGAGGGAAGAAGAGGGGGCCGAATTTCCGAGTCAGTTTGCCGTGGCAAACTAAGCCGGAAGTGGGAGCGGATACCTCTCAAAACCAGGTACCCGCTCCCCCCACAAAGGTCCCAAATGTGGCAGCGGAAGGGGGAGGAGGCAGACAAGTGGAGCTTCCCTTTTTGGGTGGAGCTCCACTTTAAAATCACTTAATCATTCAAGCAGAATTCACAGCAGGTATATTTTGTGTCAATGGAAATAAAATGTCCTAATCCAATTGTTATCAGCTGGAAAACGATTTGACCCCACTAACGATCAGAAAATGGAATGAGTGTTCTTAAAACTGAAAGTTTTGAAGGAAATTCTACTAGTGTATTTCCAGCTTTTTCGGCCTACAGTTGTGCTTTACTGCTCCTCTTATTTTAATCAGCTCAGACCTATAATGAGTCATTGATGTGCGATCTCTAGGTTGCTTAGGTATAGAATTGCAACTTATTAATAATTAGTACATAAATAAATTATCAGAATTACTTCATTATACAGTATTTGGCAAAGTTTGTTTTTTTTTTTAGTTAGATTTTCTTGTCTGAATAGCAATTTAAAGAAATACTTTTCATTGAATTGGAATCTGCCTGCAAACACAACTCCCTGGATTCTCAATGACGGGATCTCCTATTTCTGCTTACATATCCACAAAACAAGAACTGCTGTTAGCCCTTGAGAAAAGCTTAGTGAAACACTGTTCGAGGCAGATGAGTCATCCCTGAGGGAAGCAGACATTTCATTATATAAAGCAGTATTAATCTCCAAACCAAATATGTAATATATTGCAGCTTGCCAATCATTAGATGTGGTGACAGCATTCGTTTTCTTTATTTATGCTTTTTTCCCCTCTGTTTTCACCTGAACAGAAGCATTGTCAGTCTGGTGGGAGGGCAGATGTATTAGAAGATTTAAATTCACTAACAAATTGAATCCAATCTCCAGCTTTTCTTTTTGGGATTTTTTACATAATATACATTTTTAGATAATATAAATATAATCATAATATATAATATAAAAATAATAAATCTAAATATTTTTACATAATATAAATAAAATAAAAGCTAATCATTTTAAAATGGTAGTAAACTACAACAAATAGAAAAAAAAAACAAAAAAAAATCTTCCCTCCGGTGGAGTGCTGTCTTGGCTCCCCGAGTTCAGGTTGAGGAGACATTTACTGTACCTAGAGGTAAGCCTTGTTATAAGCTTACCTGTAGGTAAAAGATAAAAAAAAGACTTTATTACCACTTTAAGCACCCCTGCTAGTGTTAAATGATTTGTCTCATCTCTGTAATTGATACATTATGCTGGAGAGCTTGTTTCTCTGAAAGACAACAGACTTACTGGCTGAATCACCACGTGAAAAGAAAGGAAGAAAGAAAGCCTAAAAAAGAAAATGAATGCAACCATCACATCAAGAAATGGTAATCTGCAATATAATAACCATTTTCTTTTGGTTTTAATACCACTTTAACATTTTACACAGATCTAACTCTCCTTGTAGAAACTCCCGTTTTGGATTTGAAGTTTGGTTCTTTTGTTTCGTTAGTGCATGGAAGTAGTGTTGGTTGGTGTTTTTATTTCATGGGTGTGTTGTGTTGGTTGGGTTCTAGAAATGGCCACGATTCCATTTGTGTTTGCAATATCTCCAAGCAGATAAGAATCATACTTAATATTAGCTAAAATCATTACAATGTATAAAGTTGATTTTAATTCTTTCACCCCATTGTCAACTAAGTGAGACTTGGTTACACGGACTGACCATTCGAGAACTCAGGCACTGCCCGAGGGCCCAGGGTCAGTAGGGGGCCCCATGAAATGCCCTGGTACTTTTATAGGCTTGAGTGTGGGCAAGGACACAGGGGCCCCATGACCCCTTTGCATGAGCAGTCCACCCTTGCTTGCTTACGACTTTCGGGCACTTGAGGAGTCAACGGCACTCAAGTGGCATGAAAGTTGCATCAAAGTAGTGCATGAACCTTTTAAAAAGTCATTGCGTCTTGAGTTGCATTTATTGGAACAGTCGCAATTGAAGTGAATGGGTTTTCAATTGCCATGCGACTTTGTTGAAAGTCACATGCAAAGTGGCAGCAGTGTGAGCTGAGGCTAAACTGGCATATCACTTTAGAATACCTTGAAAAAAATTCCTTCTAATGAATAAATCTGTCTGTAGACATTAGTACATGCATAATCCAATCATCTCACTATGTTTTCTGAACCAGTTTTTACAACACAAGAACACCCTATTCAAACACGCTGCACTTTAGGGCAATGAAGGGAGATACTGTTCAGACAGTCCCAATGAACACAATTGTGCTTATCCAGGATTGTCAAGCGATGCCACATAGAAACTGGATTGTCATCTGATCCAGCCAGATAGAAAGGCTGTCCTAAGGGGCTCCATGCACACTAGCAGTTTTTAAGCTCAAAAAAAGCTTGATAAAAAACACTGATAATAGCATTTCTATTAGCGTTTTAGTAGCGTTCAGGAGCGTTAGCGTTTTATTAGAGTTTTTACAGTACATTTAGAGAAAAAATTGAACAGCCACAAGCTATTAGGAGCATTTTAGTAGCTGTTTCTACTGGAAAAATGCTCCAAAAAAAACTCTACAAAAACAATATTTTCTTCTCCTAGATGCTGAAGTTCAAAGAATTATAGTAGCCTAAAGTAGTGTGCATGGACTTGTAGGATAAAACTATTTAGCTTCTAGAAGCAGAAACAAAAATACTAAAAAAAAACAGCTTCTAGGAGCTTAAAAGAACGCTAGTGTGCATGGAGTCTTAAGCTGGTCATAGAAAGGTAGAATTTTGAATGAAAAGAATGTCCTAAGATAGTTTGTTAATTTTTCTAATCATTAGTACATAAAATCAATGCTGGTTTGCAACCGCAGTGATGAGAAAGTTCAATGGATAAGGATGGAAAATTTTTTCTTAACACCTTCCAGCCTGGCCTATAGCAGATTGACGGATGGGCAGGACACTTGCGTTGTGACTGGGCGTCATATGACATCCTGTCAAAACGAGCTGCTCACGCGACCACAGGGCCACGCAGCAGCGCGATCTGCCACCGGCTGTGTCCACGGGAAACAGCCGATGACATATCACTACACTGGCCCATTGCCTGTGTCATGTGACTGCTGTGACCAATCACAGCAGATCACATGTCAATTGTATACACTGGATGGCTTCCTGCCATGCCATTCATTATATGCACATTATGTTAGCTGTGATTGGTCAAGGCAGTCACATGATACAGCAGGACCAATCACAGCCCATCTGTATCATGTGATCAGCTTTGCCTAATCACAAATCAAAAGACTGAATGAATCAGTACCAATGATTACAAATATCAATGAAATACATTGGTATAGGCAATCATAATGTGTTAAAAAAAAAAATCCTGATCGCTTGCCCAGAGTAGTTCAATGTTACTATGGTAACATTGTATTGCTTTGGTCACAGTGTGCTGAAAAATAAAATTGTAAAAAAAAAACATTTCATAAAAAAAAAAAAAATAGAAAAATTAAAAAAAAAATTAAATTATTATTATCACCAAAGAAATGTAGCAGAATACAATTTGACCTAAATTTATGAAGAAAAAGTTATTTGTAAAATTTTAATAACAGAAATAAGGAAATGTGCGTTTTTTTTTCAAATGTTTCAGGTGTTTTTTGTTTTATTTAGCAAACAATTAAAAACTCAGTGGTGATTAAATACCACCAAAAAAGCTCTATTTGTGTGAAAAAAAATGATAACAATTTCATATGGGTACAGTGTAGCATGACCGCGCAATTGTCATTAAACGTTCGACAGCCTGAAAGCTGAAAATTGGCCTGGGCATGAAGAGGGTAAAAGTGCCTGATATTGAAGTGGTTAAATAAACACATTTCTAACAGTGTATGTCAAAAGCAAACAAGATGGAATGTCCCTGCAAATTTTATACAGACTTTTCCTAAGAATTTCCATTCAAAATTCTATCCATCTATGGTCAGCTTTAGTCTCTCTATAAGATATCCCACCACCATACTCTCCTCTGACAATCCCGAGGACACACTCAGTACCTTCGTTGTCACAGTACTCCAGAATGGAAGGATCTTCCCGGATGATTGCAGTCAATGTGTTGACATCACCATTCGCTGACGCTTGGTACACCACACTCAAGTCAATCTCTTCTGCTGAATCACCTTGAAACAGACACAACAAAGGCTATTTGTCATCAATAATGTTAGCAAGTTATATATTACAAGTAGAACGTCAGGTCAAAACCAAAATCCTAGAGCCTATGTCCTACCTTACAGTTCTAGCTGTTAGTATCTATCATGTGCACAGGTGAAAAAACATTCCAGTCTGAACTGATGGTAATTATGAGGGTCCATACAAATAATAGACCTGCTGAAAGTCTTTCATCCTGTCACCTTTCTTATTTTAGCCTGCTCATTGACAGTGAAGGATGAGGTCATCAGTGTACTTTCTCCTCCGTAAGCATGTTCACAGTATTATGCTGGCCATAAATGGGTCAATTTTTTTTTCAATCCAAAAAAATTAACAGATTCCTCCATCCGCACAAGCAAGATGGATGGAGGAATCTCCCCACAGACGTTGTATTCTGACAGTGGGACTCTCCGCTGTCACAGTACATTGACTGCCAAATTTTTGCAGATGTAGCTCACTGATCCTGTTAGACTAAATGTAGTTTTTGGCTCTACTGTAGTCGGTGGAGAAATGATCAGTTTGTCTGCTCAGGGTTTGCTATGCTGGGTAATTGGTCCTGCCTGTTGCTGGAAGAAGCTTCCATAAAATAGAGCAGGGAGGGTAAATCACTTGAATATGTATCATACCTCCCTACCAATCCTTGGAAGGGGGTGTCCAGGAGGTGACTGTATAGGTGATACATTTTTTGGAGGCCCTGGGCAGAGTGTTCTCCTCCTTCTGCTAGGAGGGCTCCACTTCTTCAGGGGCTGCTGGTAACGAGTGGGAGACAAGATGCAGTTTGGGCCTCAGCTGATGTTGAGATGTGGACCTAGAGAAGATTGCTAAAGTAATCCCCTAACTGGGCATAGCCTGGGAGTCCAGGTCTGGAGAAGGATTCTTTTGCCCCATCACCAAAGAGTGTTGTGTGGAAGCTGGGTGGCAGACAGCTCCTGGGACATTGTAGGACCTGAGATTAGGACCTTGATGTGAGCCTGCTGCTATAGGATTAATGCTAATAAGTTTGTCCTCCTCTTGATTTCTATCGTTTTGGAGTATCCTGCACCCTTATACCTTTCCTGTTCAAGTTTTGTGCATAAAAAATTCACAAAAAAGACATCCCCTAGACTTAGCCTGTGGGAGAGATTTACTAAAACTGGTGCACACAGAATCTAGTGCAGATGTTCATAGCAACCAATCAGCTTAAGCCTCCATGCACACTGGGCTGAGTTTTTCAGCATTTTTGCATTAGCATTTAGGGTGTTTTTTCCACGTTTTTCTGCTTTTTTCCACATTTGTGTTTTTTCTACAAAAAAAAAAGTTTGCTCAAAAAAAGGTCCAAAAATGCCGGTTTGCTGTGTTTTTCAGCATTAGAGCGTTTTTACAGCTAAAAATCTCCTCTAGAAACCCACTAGTTCTGGGGGGTTTTTCCAGACAAAAAACACCCCTGCCAAAAAATGCTGATTAAAGCCTATGTGTGCATGGACACATAGGATAACATGCTGGGGAGTTTACGGACTGTAGAAAAAAATGCCAAAAGCCAAAAACAGCCGCTGCAAAAATGTCCAGTGTGCATGAAGAATAAAGATTTCATTGTCAAAGCTTAATTGAGCAAGCTGAGGTTACATGCTGATTGGCTACTCTGCTCAGCTGCACCAGAATCTGTGTGCAACAGTTTTAGTAAATCTCCTCCAGTGTGTCAGTGTGCTTGGAACTGAGTCTGTTGCAGGTAGCCTCTGTACTAGCTAGGGAGACCTAGATATATTATCAGCACCCCCTCTTGGGGGTAAGTGCCACACAACATTCTCATTTGACAAAAGTCAATCTAATGATTGACGTCTGTTGAACAGGGAAGCTCACACAGTTTCACGTTTCATCTATGGCCAGCTTTACACCCCAGTCACATTAAACACTACTTACAGTGAAGTCGCATGATTTCAAAGTCGGGTGAGATGCTGATTTCAGGTGCGATTTTCAAGACATCTGATACAGATGTCTATGCAAATCGCACCAAAAGTAGTGCATGTACTACTTTAGAAATCGGTGCGGCTCTGACCAAGTCAGAACCGTACCGATATGACCGCTGTAATTGCAGACAATAGGCTGCGATTTGGCATATGATTTGCAAGTCGCATGGCATGCAATTTGCATGCCAATTCGCATCCAGTGTGTCCGGGGTCTTAGACTGAGAGTATCATGCAAAGCAACAGGGCCCTGACAGGCTCAGACTTCTGGCCCTTCTGCATATAGCAGAGCTGTGCAAAGAATTACATAAATATAATTTAAATACAGATTTAGGCATTTACAGTATACTGGCAGTATTAAAGTATTTAAGTCCAATCAATTCTCATATACAGTTAGGTCCGTATATATTTGGACACAGGCACAATTTTAGTTTTTTCAGGTATTTACCAAAACATATTCAAGATACAGTTATATAATGGATATGGGCTGGAAAGTGCATACTCTCAGTTTTAATTTGAGGGTATGTACATCTAAATTGGAGGAAGGGTTTAGGAATTACAGCTCTGAAGAGTAGCCATCCCCTTTTTTCAAGGGACCAAAAGTAATTGGACAATTAAACCAAAAGCTGTTTCATGGCCAGGTGTGGGCTACTCCTTTGTTATTTCTTCATCAATTCAGCAGGTACAAGGTCTGGAGTTGATTCTAAGTGTGGTATTTGCATTTGGAATCTATTGCTGTGAATCTAAATTATGTGTTCAAAGGAGCTGTCCATGCAAGTGAAACAGGCCATTGTAAGGCTTCAAAAATTAAACGAATCCATCAGAGAGATAGCAGCAACATTAGGAGTGGCCAAATCAACATTTTGGTACATTCTGAGGAAAGAAGAATGCACTGGTGAGCTCAGCAACATAAAAAGGCATGGATGTCCAGTGGTGGATGTTCGCAGGATCCTCTGGGGGTGGGCATATCATTGTCAAAGTTTACAATCAAGAGAAGACTTCACGAGAGCAAATATAGAAGGTTCACTACAAGGTGCAAACCATTCATAAGTACAAAAAATGGCCACTACCCCAGTCTATAACTGGCTTTCACATAAAAAGAGCACATGAAAGGGCAATGAATATCAAACAACAAAAGAGAAAAATTCCCAGCTCAGCTTGCCAATCTGCCTTCAAACAAACTGAATTAACCTGTCTAACAGTATGCGTTAAAAACAGGGGTCTAGTTAGCACACATTTGCAAACACATGTGTAAGCTGCAGAGCCTCATCACGGCACCCCAATATTCTGTAGTCCTAACGCTACAAATCTTGAGAGCCCCCATAGTAGAGGCAATGGATAAACAAAGGGCAGGTGGACCTGAGGGAGCCCACCCCCTCCTAAAGGTACAGGAGTGCACTGGACACCCAGCATGTACACAATGGCAGCTAAGGTTTCCAGTGAGCCCCCTCACCAACAATTCAACAGTAAAAAAAATGGCCACTGCCCCAGTCTATAACTGGCCTTACGCATGTGTTTGCAAATGTATGCTAACTAAACCTCTGTTTTTGATACATACTGTTAGACAGGTTCATTCGGTTTGTTTGCAGGCTGGCTGGCAGGTTGAGCTGGGAATTTTTCTCTTTTGTTGTTTGCAAACCATTCATAAGCCTGAAGAATAGAAAAGCCAGATTAGACTTTGCCAAAAAATGGGCTGGGAGAGGGGGTAATGGATTGTATAGGAATAGTACATTATTATTGTCGATGTAATTTATTTTGCTTCTTTTTTGTATACTAACCAAATAAAAATTCAAATTAAAAAAAAAAACTGCCAAAAAACATCTAAAAAAGCCAGACCAGTTCTGGAAAAGCATTCTTTGGACAGATGAAAGTAAGATTAATCTGTACCAGAATGATGGGAAGAAAAAAGTGTGTAGAAGGCTTGGAACAGCTGATGATCCACAGCACATAACGTCATCTGTAAAACATGGTGGAAGCAGTGTGATGGAATGGGCATGCATGGCTTCCAGTGGCACTGGGTCATTAGTGGTTATTGGTGATGTGACAGAAGACAGAAGCAGCCGGATGAATTCTGCAGTGTTCAGAGATATACTGTCAGCCCAGATTCAGCCAAATACAGCAAAGTTGATTGGATGGCGCTTCACAGTACAGATGGACAATGATACAAAACACACTGCAAAAGCAACCCAGGAGCTTTTGAAGGAAACGAAGTGGAATATTCTGCAATGGCCGAGTCAATCACCTGATCTCAACCCCACTGAGAATGCATTTCACTTGCTGAAGGCAAAACCAAAAGCACAAAGACCCACAAACAAAGAACAACTGAAGATAGCTGCAGAGCCTGGCAAAGCATCAGAAAGGAGGAAACCCAGTCTTTGGTCATGTCCATGGGTTCCAGACTTCAGGCAGTTATTGCCAGTAAAGGATTCTCTACAAAATATTAAAAATTAACATTTTATTTATCATTATATTCATTTGTCCAGTTACATTTGAGCCTCTGAAAATGGAGGGACTGTGCATACAAATTGTTTCTAAAATTTGTAGTTGATATTTATGTTCAACCCCTTGAATTAAAACTGAAAGTCTGCACTTCAAATTCATTTGGATTGTTTCCTTTTAATTTATTCTGGTGGCATACAGAGCCAAAAGTATGAAAATTGTGCCAGTGTCCAAATATATATGGACCTAACTGTAAGTTGTAATGTGAATGTCATTTCAGTATTTTTAAATCTGTAGCTTTCACTTAAAAACCTTGTGCTCCTGCCATGATAGTCCCTGTTCAGGCACCGCCCCTTGATGACGTCGTGGTGACAAAACGCGTTGGTGTGGCCTACTTGATGCTGACGTGAGGATGCTCTTTTGGCAGTGTGTGTCGGAGGTGATCCGCTGTAAGCGGAGATCATTATCATTGCAGTGCTGCATATTGCTGTTGAAGCTGGTGTCTGTCTGGACACCTTTCTTGTGAGTTGTTTGGCATTTTAAATAAATTTACATGTGTTTAAAACGTACTGCACCATCAATCTTTTTCCTTTGTCC